GAATCCCCCTGAAATGAGGAGCAATCCCACATGATTATCCCAGAGCAGAGTTCATCCAGTTCACTTAACAGAGGCCCCACATTTGAATATTGATAGAGGAGTGTATTTGCATTTGCTTAGCTCTTTTTCATTAAGGTTAATACAACAAACAGTCCCTTCTTGCTTCAGTGTCTGGTTTGCACAGATTTCTGGCCTGAGGCTTTTGTTTTCTCTCAGGGGTCCAAATAAGCATAAAACTAAGAGTACCTTCCTAATTTTCCTATTGCTCCCTCTCTGGGGTTGTGCTAAGGGTGAGGGGGTCACTTAAAATATAAGGACTCACTCCCTGCTGTGCTCAGTCACTTCCCAACCCCCGGTCTATTCCTTTGTTTAAGGAGGAAAAAGAAAGATATCAAATGTCCCAGTCACTTTTACCTTTTCCCAGAAATAGAAGCTAATAAAGGAACCAGAAATTGCACATATATCAAACGCTCTGTTTCTTAGAAATATCAAGGGCAAATAGAAGTTAAGATTCAATGCTCTTGAATCTCCAGTTCCCATTTACAGTGTGAAACATGAGGCTCAGAGTTGATAAGTGTATTGTTATTAAATGGTAAACGGTAGAGAGTCAGAACTCAAATCTTGGTTTTCAGTTTCTGAATCCTCTGTGTGTTCCAACATGCACACCACGTCCCCTCTGGGATAAAGAACCCAAAAGAAAAGAAATACTGCTAGTGACAAAGAAAATAACCATCAAGTTCCAGATTCTGCTTCTAATGATTGCTCACAGCCATTGTCCTTGGGTGTGAGTTGATCTCTGCTTCAGAATAATCTAGGTAAATTAATGCTACCTGCTGTCCTCTGCCCATCTGGACCCTCCCAGAGGCTTGCCCTCTGAGCTGCCCCATCAGATACCTTCCCTGTTCCAGGGTGAATGCAAAGGCTGGCCTTCCCTTGGCACATTTATCTTCAACCCCCAGTGAACAAGCAGAGCACACAGTAGACTAACTCATTTATTGCTACTCATTTATTGATGGCCTTTCATAACCGAGTTATTAAGTCATCAATAACTTCAGAGAAATAAATGAACGGATCCAGAACTGGGCCAACAGATATTTAAGATACCCACTGAAAATTTTATCTAGGATCAGCAGAAAAGTCAATGCCGGGTCATCAGTGTCATTTCCCTCACAAAACATGGTCTATGTTTTATTCTAATTAAAACCCGGTCTGTTTCTTTACAAACTAGTAAAATGAATAATATCTCCAGTCTCCCAAGTAAAATAAAGTTTGAAAAAATGGTTACATTTGTTAACATTTTCCCAAAGTACTACCTAATATGTGTTGTTCTTATCAGCTGTCAAAAAAATACCTCTGAAAATTTTGCCAGAAATAGAGTATAAGATCTTTCACGAGTGCTTGTGAGTTCTGGTATATTCCCCCCAGGAAATAAAATAAAAAAGATCGGGAAAGGGGAAAGAAGGGCAGAGAATGTTTCTAAGACCTTGGAAAATCCTTGAAACCCATATCTAGGAGTCTGGAGAAATTCCTAATACAGACATTAAGTTTCTATAGGGACATTTTTCACAGCCCTCAGCACTTTACTCAGCTGGTGGGAGCCATGCTTTCCATTATGTTTTGGGGTGTGGATAACTGCTCTGTCTCAACCTACAGGATCACCCCAGAATCCTGACCTTATCTCCCTGTTCAGATATTTCTTTTCCTTAGTTTGCTCCCCACTTACACCTGGGGGCCCCATCTCTATGAGAGGAATCTTGGCTGCTGAGGGGTCACAAACATGCTTGGAAGCCTCTCTGTGCCTCAGTTTCCCCATCTGTCAAATAGGAATAATAATAGAACATACTTCATCAAATTGTTATAATTATTAGAAAAGTTAATACATGAAAAGCACTTAGAATACTATTTGGCACATGGTGAGTGTTCAAGAAGTGTCAGCTGTTATTGTTGTCGTTGTCATTAATAAAAAATACAATGTTTTCCATAAGATTAGGACCTTGGAGTCCAGCCAGTCCCAATTTCCTCAATTCATTTTGCAGGCAAGCTAACTGCAGCCCAGTAATTTATCTATCATACAATGTCTGTGCTTTCCAGAGTTTAAAGACTAAGTGAGATAACTCACAGAAAAAAACATCATCTTTGGAGTCCTGCAGTCTTAACTTTCAAATTCCAGCGCTGTCGCTTGCTAGCCCGAGACTTTGGGCTAACTCTCTTCCCTTCTCTGGGCCTCTCTAGGTCCTCATCTGTAAACTAGGTATAACATGACCACCTTGCTAGAGTGTTTCGAAAACTGAAAAGTAATGACTGAAAAAGTTGACGACGGTGACTAGCGTGCTGCCGAGGAATCAACGAGCATTCAGTAGCTGGGGACTGTTGTTCTCAGCGTCATACAGCGGGGCAGAGAGGGTGCTGGACTCCCAGGCCCCTGACTGCCAGCCAGGCTCACCACCACACAGCCCACAGTTACTTAAAAACAACCAACCAAACCAAACACATGAATTTGCTTACACTACTTTCTCTCCTTTTTCTTCAATAACTATCTTGTCATCGGTAGATGTTATCAGCTATCAAAAATTACCTGTGCCTGCTAATGGATAAGACTTTGTAAGCCCTTTGTTGTTCTTCGAAAAAGAAAAGGAAAAAGGGAGAGAGAAGCAACTCCCCACAGTTGGCCCAAGGTTTTTCTAACTTGCTTGGTTTGGGGTGAGCAGTTTTATTCTACCAGCCGAACCCTAACCAGCTGTGCCTGTTAGAGAGATGGTGACTCAGAAACAACTTGCAGATGTTATAAAATATTAAGAAAACCCTGTGTGTAGCAGTGATCTTGCAAACCTGACACCTTTGTTGGGGTAGAAATGGCAGGAGTCGGTTCAGGGAAGGACAGAAATTGAACTGACACTCTGGTTTCCTTTTTGGACGAATATGATGAATAATTTCTAACTCGAGATAACAAGGCATGGCACTCAGGTCTATCAGAAAACAGATTTTTAAAACTTAATGTCCATGGGGGCGCCTGGGTGGCTCAGTTAGTTAAGCGTCTGCCTTCGGCTCAGGTCATGATCCCAAGGTCCTGGAATCGAGCCCCGCATCAGGCTCCCCGCTCAGCGGGAAGCCTGCTTCTCCCTCTCCCACTCCCCCTGCTTGTGTTCCCTCTCTCGCTGTGTCTCTCTCTCTGTCAAATAAATAAATAAAATCTTAAAAAAAAAAAAAAGTTAAGGGATGGAGAAAAACATGCCATGCTACCCATAATCAAAAGAATGCTAGAGTAGCAATGTTAATTTCAGGACTCCAAAGATGATGTTTTTTTCTGTGAGTTATCTCACTTAGTCTTTAAACTCTGGAAAGCACAGACATTGTATGATAGATAAGTTACTGGGCTGCAGTTAGCTTGCCTGCAAAATGAATTGAGGAAATTGGGACTGGCTGGACTCCAAGGTCCTAATCTTATGGAAAACATTGTATTTTTTATTAATGACAACAACAACAATAACAGCTGACACTTCTTGAACACTCACCATGTGCCAAATAGTATTCTAAGTGCTTTTCATGTATTAACTTTCCTAATAATTATAACAATTTGATGAAGTATGTTCTATTATTATTCCTATTTGACAGATGGGGAAACTGAGGCACAGAGAGGCTTCCAAGCATGTTTGTGACCCTTCAGCAGCCAAGATTCCTCTCATCTACTTGGAACCATAGACCTGCAGTGAGGGCACAAAGATTATAGGCTATTTTGAGCAGATGGGGGTGAAGGGGTGCTCTCCTGAGCTAGAAGGAATGGTCTGGTAGTTAAGATAAAAAACAAGTCAAATGTATTAGATTTGTCCACAGTCAGCAATGGTGATCTTCTTGCTGGTCGTGCCGTTCCAGGACCCAAACCCATCCACACTTCCACAATATTCATGCCCTCTTTCACCTTGCCAAAGACCACATGCCAACCAGCCAACCACTCCATCTTGGCTGTGCAGATGAGAAACTGGGAACTGTTTGTGTTGGGTCCAGCATTTGTCACGGACAAGATGCCAGGATCCGTGTGCTTCAGGATGAAATCCTTATCATCAACTTTGTCCCTGTAGATGGACTTGCCCCCAGTGCCATTATGGTGTGGGAAGTCACCACCCTGGCACAGAAATCCTGGAATAATCCTGTGGAAGCAGGAACCTTTATAACCAAATCCTTCCTCCCCAGTGCTCAGAGCACGAAAGTTCTCCACTGTCTTTGACACTTTGTCTGCAAACAGCTCAAAGGAGACAGGGCTCAAAGGCTTGCTGTCTGTAATGGTGTCAAAGAACGCAGGGGGTTGGCCATGGTTGTCGACGCAGGAGGCTCTGGGGCGGTGGTGTCAGCAAGGCCGAATGCTTTCTCTTCTTAATTCCTTATCTTCCTCCCATTTTGGCCCTTTTGGGAAAAAAAAAAAATAGAAAAACACATTCAGTTATTATAGGCTTTCTATAAGGAATATCTATTTCAAAACTCTTAAAAGGAGAAAGATATCAAAAATTAACCATAGCCTTCAGTAGTGATCAAAAAGAAAATGAATGAAAACTAGCTTAACAATTATTAGACTGTTATCATCCCTTTAGACTTGACCTTTTGGTAAGTCGTAAATAAATACCATCCAAATTTGACAGAAGTAAACAGCAAAAATCATGCAACAGCGATATGACAGAAATATCACTTTTATTGATGTCAAAAAGTGGCATTTCATAGCTGTTTAATAAAATAGGGATTATGAAGAAAAGTAAATGTTGAATTATGCCACAAGAGTTTCATCCACATGGCAAGATCTATGAGCTAATTTGCTTGGCAGCTGCTTCGCCATTTAGATAAAAATGCCTACAACCTAGAAAGTTTTTTTTAATGTGGTTAAATTTAATTTGGTTTGACATGTATTTTTATAGTGAAAATACGTGAATATATTCTATATTAATGTTGATAGCATATATCAATATTTTGTATTGATTATTTACCTGGTACCTTTTCCTATTGTCTTTCTCCAGGAAGCAAATAACTTGGATAAAAACACAACCAAAACAGAGAGTGCTTGGCTCTTCAGAATGTGGTACAGCTTTGACCACAAGTATCCTTTGATAATGATGATCTTCCAGATCCTGCTGCCTGGCAGAGATTAACTTCAAGCACTTAGTCATTGAGGTGCATGCTCCTGCTCTTCAAGAAACACAGAAAGGTAAAGTGAATTCATGACCAAATTTATCAAAAAAAAAAAAAAAATTAAAAAGCTGTACAGTCCATACTTAAGTGTTACAAAGAGCTAAAGTGAAATCTCTCAGGGTCAAATGAACTGGGTGTATTCACGACAATCTAACATTTCCTAAATGCCAGATGATAAAATCTTACAGTCCTGAGGACTGATCTATTTTACTAATTTTACTATTCTTCCCTTTGCAAAGATTTTACTTCTGGTCAAGTTGGCCAAGGTAACTGGACAAAAATCCTTCACCCTTCTCCCAGAAACCCATGTGTGTGCTCTTGTTTCATGCTGTAAAAAAAAAATGGAGTGGGGCTGAGGGCAAAGGGAATGAATGTTCTGAAAAGAAGAATGAGTCTGATCACTGCATTACAAAATAACATTACCTTGTTTTCCAGGCAGATTTGAGTAAGCTCTTCCTACTGAAGGCCAATTTTAAAATTCTGCCAATCAGGGTAAACACAGTGGCTCAGATATACCTTGCCATGTGACTGACAGGGCTGAGAAGTCAGGCCTGAAGGCCTCTGCCATTGTGAGGGGCAGTAAACGGTCCATCTCTAATCCCAAGCAAAAGCGCCATGGAAGAAAGGAAAGAACTGCGCTGAAAATTGAATGTGTTGGGTCTTTGTAGTTGGTTTTCCACACTCACAAATCCTCTTCCTTTCAGGGAGAAAATGTCAGTCACTGGGTGATTTTAAAGTGCCTAAGCAATGATTAAAACCACAACAGATCAGTGGGAGAGGAAGAAGAATTAAGAACAGCGAAAAGAAATTCAATGAATAAGGTGAAGAAGAGATAAAATGGAAAGGGGAGAGGAGACAAGAGAAATACAGGAAATTCACAGTAGGAAGGAAAGGAAGGAAAATTGGAGGAAGGGCTATGTAAGAAAAAAAATTAAGTAAGAATGAAGAGAAGCCAGTTGAAGACTGCAGAGATAAGCCAAAGTAAAACAGGTGAGAATTTAAAGAGCAATTCTGCAGAAGTACAGCATTCCAAGAATTACAAAATGGACATGTGGAAGGTAGAGGGTTTTTGAGGCTACAGCTTTGTTTTTCCACAGCTCCACTCTCAGAGACCTTGCCTTGCTCAGTCTTGAGCCTTTACGGACAGTGTAGGTTTCCACCACCTTAAAAGCACTCTCTCTTGGCCATTAACTACCTCTTGGAGGTTCTGGTGTCACATTAACTACCCATAGCCTTCCTGGTCTCTCTAAGGGAAGCTGGTTCTTAGCAGGTTATGCTGGTTTATGTTCCAGGTTGATTTCTTATCTGGAAACACAATTTTCCGCTGCCATTGCTTAAAGTATCTAATAACCAAATTTTAGGAAGTTAGAAAAAACTGACTGAAGAGTACACAAGAGGCTGCTTGATTATGAAAGATATACAGTAAGAAACTGCCTTTTTGGGTTCCTGAACCCAATTTTCAAGCTCCCAAGATTGTTACTTGTGTGTCTGACCCACTGGCTACAGATTGGAGGTTCTCATGACTTCCTCTTTGGGTTCAATTCATCTACTAGAGCGGCTCACAGAACTCAGTTTTACTTACTAGATCAACGGTTTATTATAAAAGGGTAAGAGATGCACAGGATAAGGTATGTGGGAAAAGTCACCTAGCTTTCATGCCCTCTCAAAGTGCACCACTCTCCCCAAATTCCATATGTTCACGAACCGGAAAGTTCTCTGAACCCTGTCCTTTTGGGTTGTTATGGAGGCTTCATTATATAGGCATGATTGATTAAGTAATTGACCAGTGGTGATTGAACTCCATCTCTAGCCCCTCTCCCTTCCCAGAGGAGGACAGGAGGGGTGAAATGAAATTTCCAGCCCTCAAATCACAGGTTGGTCTTCCTGGCAAGCAGCCCTTATCCTTAGGTAGGGTCCAAAGGCCACTTCATTAACATAACAAAGGATACCTCTGTTGCTCTCATCACTTCCGAAATTCTGAGGTTTTTAGGAGCTCTGTGAAAGACCAAATCTATATGTCTTATTATAAATCATAATAACATAAAATAGTAAATCAGAAATGAGATGAAAAATGTTTTTGCTCAAACTCTGACAATGCTGTGAGGAATGCTTTACAAGGAAGAAAGAGAGTAAAAGTGGAAAAAATAACTTGGAGGCCAAAAAGGAAAATGGAAACTCACCCAAATTTTTAGCTTAGAGCAGTGACACTAAATTCAAATGATGTCATAGTTTTTGTCTCACTTTTCACCAGGGGTTTATTTCCATACGATTATGGACAGACTTGCAAAAAAATGAAAGCAGATTTACCCAGTCAGTAATATCTCTTCTCATGGTAATTTGTCCTCCTGTGCATTCATTCTAGAAATTGCAGGGCTACCATCACTGCACAAATATCTTTTCACTTAGACAACAAAGTTTTTATATCCTAGTTACGCTCTGAATTCATACCCAGAGAGTAGCAAACCAACCGTTTCTACTCTGTGACTTCTTGATATATCTGTATTTCCAGAGACAAATTATCCACTTGGCATTTGTGTTCTTCCTGCTGTTCACCTAGAGCCCAGGTGATGTGCCTTTCAAACCTCATAGGTAGGCTGTTGCAGCCACCCTCAGTGTAGGTGATGTAGGAAAGACCATGTTAGGGCTTGAAGCCGACAGCCAAGAAAAAATTCTTGAGTCTTTGGTGCAAAAAGGTGATTTTTTTTAAGATTTTATTTATTTATTTATTTGACAGAGAGAGAGAGAGTGCATGAGCAGGGAGAGGGGCAGAGGCAGAGGGAGAAGCAGACTCCCCGCTGAGCAGGGAGCCTGATGCGGGACTCGATCCCGGGACCCTGGGATCACGACCTGAGCTGAAGGCAGATGCTTAACCGACTGAGCCACCCAGGCACCCGCAGAAAGGTGATTTTATTAAAGCATGGGGACAGGACCCATAGGCAGAAAGAGCTGCAATGGGGTCAGGAGAAGTGGCCCATTATATACTTTCAAGTTGGGAGGGGGTTAGGGATAGTGTAAGTCTCTAAGGAATTTTGGAAGCAAGGTTTCCAGGATCTTGAGGGGGCTAGCCATTGTTGGGAAAAGGTCATTTATTACTGTCTAATAAAACCTGAGTCATGAGACCCTTCAGATATATACCGGTGGACCATATGCTTGAGGGGTTTAGAGATAAAGGAAGTTTCTGAAGGAATTTTTATAAGTTAAAGTAGACTTACAGGATCCTGTTAAGTGGGGGGGGGGCCTCAGGCTAGGATTGCCTTTTGCCCTTAGCAAAGTATTAACATGGATGCAGCTGAGTTCCTAGAGGAATGTCTCTCTGCCTGTTTCAAGGACTTGGCAATGGGCTGTAGGTAGTAAGGAAATTTAATAATTTTTCTTCTGCCTTTGTTTCCCACACCATAGGGATGATCCCCACCCCAGGGTCAGGTTTCCTGGCCTAGGCCAAAAAGAAATTGTTGCAAAGCTGAAAGAAACTAACTATGCAGTTTGGAGCTGCTCAAGTTTCATTTCAGTAAAATTGCATCATGCAAAAGAGGCATCATAAAGAATTACTGACAAAAGGGAAAGAAGAATAAATAAGCCTTCATGTGCACCTGTATCAGTCAGGATTCTCCAGGGAAATGGAAACAGAACCAGTAGGAGAACACATGGGTGCACACTCATGCGCACATGCACACACACACACACACACGAATAGATATGCATACACATACATATACATCGATTTATTCCAAGGAATTGGCTTTGTGGGCGATGCAAGTGCAGAATCTGTAGGGCAGGCTCTCAGTCTGGAAACTCTCAGGCAGGAGTTGATGCTGCAGTCTTGAGGCAAAATTCTTTCTTCCTTAAGGAAACCTCAGTTTTGCTCCTAAGGTCACCCAACTGACTGGATGAGGCCCCCCCACATTACTAGGGTTATCTCCTTAAAGTCAACTGATGGGTGACGAAGATGTGCCACACCTACTGAATAATTGGGTAGACTAGCCAACAATTAGGTAAACACATAAAACCAAGCATCACGGTACTCAGCGTATGCCCAAAATTGAGACCCTGGAAAGACCCTCTCAATTCACCACTGGTATCAATAAAACAAGCCACTGTTGCTTGGATAGTTTTGTTCTCTTTTTTACTTTTTCATAGCATAATTAAGACACATACACATTTCCATAACTTTTTCCCCGAAACTACAGGGGAATAAAAATAATAGAAAATAACATTCAATGAGTAATAGCCCAAGTACTGTGTTGAGTGCTTTACATTTATAATTTCATTTTCCCTCCACAGCTCTGTGGGACGTTGGGAGGGGCTAATGAGTATGTATGATGCAACCCAGGTGCATTGCTGATTGTGTTGGCCTTTGCTGGAACAACCGGGGCTCCGTTGTTCAAGAGCCTTGTTGGAAGCCTGGGGTGCCAAAACTGAGGGTTAATTAAGATTTCATTGTGATTCAATATGGGCAGCAATTCTGAGTCGTGCAGTGCCAAGGAGCAATTGGGAAGGGGAGAGGAGCAGGGAAACTGTGTTACTGACCACCGATGCTTTGCCAGCAAGTACATCATTTCACTTAATCTTCCTAACCACTCTTTTTGTTCTATTTCATTTTACAACCACCCACTTTGAGGTGGAAGAAACAAAGTCTCAGAGAACTTAAAGAACTTTCTTAAGGTTCCATAGGTAGTGTCAGTTCCATGATTCAAGCCCAGATCTCTCAATGTAAAGTCCATAAATATACTTAAATGAACTCTATATCCATTATATCCCTCACTTTACATGTAAAACCCCATCTCAATATGTTCCTAAAGTCACTACTAAAGCAATGACTATTATGACTGCTTACATTATGTAGTACAGAGCTCACATCTCAGACACCTGTTGAAGATACATGGGATGATAAAATCAGGAGTCCTGTTT